GATCGCTTTTTAAAGGAGCATTGTTTGAGTCTGGGACCACCCAGGCCTCCTGATGGGCTGAGCCTGCCCACTCCTGGCCTCTCCCTGAGGAGGAGGAGGAAGGGAGGAGAAGTGACTTCGAGCTGTGACCTTGTCCCAGGCCACAGGATCCTGAGATGCAGGGGCCCTGCTCACACCGAGCTGTGTCTAAGGGGAGACACACTCAGCGGGTGAAGAGCACCCTAAGATCCTGGCGCCATGCTGGGAAGGAAAGATGCTGAGAGATAAAGCAGGGGAGGAGGAGGTAGCCCGGAGGCCTCCCCGAGGAGGTGGCTTCTGAGCGAGGCTTGAGTGCCTAAAGATTCATAAAGTCACGTGGGGGTGATGCAGCAGTAAAGTCGCTGCTCAGGATGCCTGCATCCCCTCTCAGGGTGCCTGGGTTCAAGTCCCGGCTCTGTTTCCTGTCCCAGATTTCTGCTGATGCCCACCTTGGAAGGCAGCTGGCGATGACGGCTCAGGTACTTGGGTGCAGGCTCCTGGCTGTGCTGGACAAGCAGCAGATGGAAGATCTCTGTCTCTCTGTCTCTGCCTTTCAAATAAAATGCGAATAAATGAGTAGAAATGAGCCAGAGCCAGTTGCAGGAAGAGCAGGTGGGGGGTACAGCAAGAGTGAAGGGCTGGAGGTGAGAATGACACAGGTAAACTTAAGAAAGCCCCAGTGGACATCTGCATGTCCACTCCCCAGATGGCCTTACCAGCTGGAGCTGGCCCAGGCCAAAGGCAAGAGCCAGGAATTCCATCTGGGTCTCCCATGAGGGTGCAGGGGCCCAAGCGCCCCAGCCATCCTCCACTGCCTTCCCAGGGGCATTAGCAAGGAGCTGGATTGGAAGCGGAGCAGCTGGGATTTGAACCAAGGATTACAAGATGCCAGGGTTACAAGGGGTGGCTTAACCTGTGCTGCAATGCCGACCTCTGTAAATAAAGTTTTATTAGAACACAGCCAGGCCCCTTTGTTTGTAGCTGCCTTCCCACGGTAGTTGCTGCAAATCCTAAACACTGGCTCTCTGGCTCGTTGTAGGAAAGGTTTGCTGAGCTCCCAGCACTTTACATCTGAGAGTACTTCAAAAAGATCCTGTTTCATTGTATGTATGAAATACGTGAAATTTGTTCCCTTTATAGACATTTAAAAAGTAAAAAAAAAAATTGGAAAAATGGAATTAAAAATACATTTACTTTGATGAAAAATGTTTTGAAACCCAAGGGGTTTTGGGAAAAGTTCTTAGAAAATGTATATCAAGAAGAAAATTGCACATGGATTTCAAGAGTTTTTTTGTACCAAGATAAACTTACCTTTTAATTACATTCTGCCCTGAGTTTGTTGATGTATTCTCTTATGATAGCCACCTAATCCTTACGATGGCAGCATGATGTGGGAACTGTTGTACCCATTTTGCAGGTGGGAATGTGAGGCACAGAATGGTCGACAAACTGGCCAGGTTGCCCAGGTGGCAAGCGGAGCTTCAGAGGCTGTGCTGCTTGCTACCTCCCTGCCTTGCTACCCCCTATGACAGACAGAATCCCAGCAAGTGCTCCTCAGACAGCCCACCAGGTGCCCTCGGGCCTGAAAACCAGGAGATCTGCCCAGCTAAGACCCTGAGGCCCAGGTAGTCACAGCTCCTGAGGGCAAGTTGCTCATCTGGCCATAAAGCGTGGGAACCAGCCGGGCCCAGGCCCTACCCGGCTGCCGGTTGGCATGACTCACGCAGGTGCTGCCGGCCCAGCTGTTCTCAAGTCTGGCAGGCGGAGGAGGCGCCCGGGGCCTCTGGCTCCTCCCCTCTCAGAGCAAGCTCTGGGCTTTTGTAAAGGGGCCCCTTCCTCCCCGCAGGCCAGGACAGTAGCCACGACTGGGCCGTGTGTGCCCACAGCGTGCGTTCCCTCAGCCACGCCACCCCCGTCTCAGTTGCCTGAGAGTCCCCATGGCTAGGGGGTCCCCGTGTTGGGCAGCACGGATAGAGCGGGTGCCCTGGCTTGGACTGGCGCCTGCTACCCCACGTAGCTCAGAGGCAGAAGCCTGAATTAGGTCATCACTTCTCTGCTGTCCACCCCTCTCCAGTGGAAGCCCGTGTCCTGATCGTTACCCACACGCCCCTGTGTGGCCTCGCTTGTTTCTTTTCTTGCAAGTTTTTATTTATGTATTGTCACTTTATCTGAAAGCCAGAGAGACAGACAGAAATCTTCTATTCGCTGGTTTACTCCCCAAATGCCTCTAACAGCCCGGGTTGGGCTAGGCTGAAACCAGGAACCTGGATCTCAATATGGGTCTCCCACGTGGATAGCAGGGACCCTGTGGCCTCCCAGGGTGTACTTTAGCAGGAAGCAGAGCTACAGTTCAAACCCTGGCTCTCTGCTATTGGATGCAGGTGTCCCCGTTGATGTCTTAACTGCTGTGTCAAATATACCCCCCAAGCGTCTACTTTGATTGGATTGGTGGGTGAGCCAATGCTGACCCCATCATCAGATTCATTCATTCATTCATTCATTCAGCAGGTGTACACTGAGCATCCGGCATGTGCCAGGCTCTGTGCCGGGCCCCAAGGAGGCAGTGGTGGTGGAGAGAGACAGGGCCGTGTCCCGGTGGAGGCTTTAGCTGAGTGAGCAGCGAGAGGGTCCGAGGCAACACAGAACACTGGTGAAGGATGGACTTGTGACGGGGCCGAGTGGGAGCGAAGGAGGCAGGAGCAAGTCCTCCTCCACCTCTCCAGAGCCGCGACCCCCAGCCCAGGTCTGGCACAGGGAGGGGCTGCATGCACGCCAGCCATCGCAGAATGCATTGCTCCGGCAGCTGGCCAGCAGCCCAGGCCCAGTGACCCGCGAGGTCCCTTCTTCCCCAGAGTTTCCATGATCCTGTGTGTGTGGGAAGCCGAACCTTGCAGGAGACTGAGCACCAAACACGGCCGGCGTAGGCGCCTGGCAAGCAGGCTGGGGAGCTGGCGGTGGTTCTCGTGCCTCTGAGATCACCCTGGGCTCGTGCCCACGCCCTGGCAGGGCTCATGTCCACTAGTGGGATGGGGGCTCCCGTGGAAAAGCTGTCCGGGAAGAAGCTAGGACGTGAGGGTGCTCTCCAGACTTGCCTGCGTCCACCCGTTCGCTCACTCGTTCATGCATTCGCTCTGCGGATGGAGGCCTTCGCGGAGCAGGGCACTGCCCGGAGCCCCTGAGAGACTGACTTTGTCCTTAACGGGGAAGAAGACCAGATGGCAGAGAAAGTAGCTGTGGCCGCCCCTGCCCCCAGGTTCCCTGTAATTACCCAGGACCCCTCCTGCCTGAAGAATAAACTCCCGATTGCCGAGCTCTGGCTGCAGAGGCCAAGCAGTTCTGGGCATTCCCGGATGGAGGCGTCCCACTGGCCCCGGTGTGGTCCCTTCTCCCACGTGGGTGACCGTGGGCCTTAAAATGACCTGGCTGATGGTGACACTCTGTGGACTAACTCAGTAGACGTTTTATGTTTTCAAGATTTATTTATTTATTTGAAAGGCAGAGTTCGAGACTCTTCCATCCTCTGGTTCACTCCCCAGTGGCCACAACAGCCAGAGCTAGGGCAGGCCAAAGCCAGGAGCCAGGAACTCCATCTGGGTCTCCCCTGGGTGGCAGGGGTCCAAGCACTTAGGCCATCATCCACTGCCTTCTCAGGCATCTTAGCAAAGAGCTAGATGGGAAGTGAAGCAGCCAGGACTTAAACCCAGCTGTGTTGGTTCACAAACAGCAGCTTAACCCTCTGTGCCCCAATGCTGGACCCTCAGTAGGCATCTGAGAGTGACCATCAGGAGAGGTAAACACACACAAACACGTACATACAGAGAGAGAGAGGGAGGTCTTCCATCCATTGGTTCACTCCTCAAATAGCTGCACTAGCCAGGGCTGGGCAAGGCTGAAACTAGGAGCCAGGAGCTTAATGAGATCTCCCACGTGGGTACAAGGGCCCAAGTACTTGGCCAAGTACTTTCCAAGGCGCATTAGCAGGGAGCCGGATCAGAAGTGGAGCAGCCGGGACTGGAACCCGTGCGCATTTAGGATACCGGCATCACAGCCGGCGGCTTTAGCCACTGTACCACACCAGCCCCAACCCCAGTATTGTTATATTGTTTCTCCAACCCCAGTATTGTTATATTGTTTCTAATTCCGTCATCACCATCATGCTGATGAGGCCTCTGGTCTTGTATCCTCCATTTCTGAGAAAATTGTGACTCCAGGATGACCGTTGTGCCACCCGGGGTGGCCTGGCTGGTGGGTGACAGGCCAGCGCTTGAAACCAAGCCAGGATGCAGCTGCAAGCCTGGGCCCTGACCTCACTCCGTCACTGAATATTCAGGAGGTCGGTGCTGGTCTCTGTTCAAAGACCTTTTTTCCTGGTGAATAATAGTGCTTTGTTGCTGCTCAGAGCAGGAGTGGCCTCCAGGGCCCCGCCCCGCCCCCATGTCTGCGGAGGGGAGCAGTGGACAGCAGTGTGTCATATCCTCAGGGGGTGCTGGGCAGGGAAACCAAGGGTGAGTAAGCCTCTCGGACAGACTTGCCCATGCCTACAGGCAGGTGCACGTGTCTGGCTCATCTGTGCTGGGACCGCTGTGCCTTCCTGTCTGAACTTGGCTGTCAGAGTGAGGCAAAGATTACAGGTGTGTGTGTCAGAGCAAGCCTTGGCCTGGCTGCTTTCCCAAGCCTCGCCCAGCCGTTCTTCCTTGAACTCGGCACCAGCTCTGTGCTGACGCCTTCACGTAGAGCACCTCCCTTGGTGTGCGTAATGGGGCTGGTGTGCCCCGTCCCCTGCTTGGCCTCACAGACTCCACGGTGACCCCCTAACAATGGTCAGGGCAAAACGTGTCTGACCCACAGCACTCAGGGGCTGCCCGCCGCCTCCCTGACCTCAGCTTTTCTGCTCTGGGTCCCCCTATTGTTGTCCAACATGCCGCTCCCCCTGCAGCGGTGGCTTAAGCCGTTTTGTTCTTTCTGCTGATTCTGTACATCAGGAGTGCAGCAGGGCCCGGAGGAGACGGCTCGCACCGCTGCGTGTGATGTGTGCCGGGGGCGGAGCGTGCAAGACGGCCTCTTCTCGGCGGTGCCCGGTGAGGATGCCCCGGGAGCTGGGGTGCAAGGCTGGGGCCGAGGTTCTCGCTGTCCGCCCGTTCCCTGGGGCTCCTCCCTCTAGGTTTCGGGCCTCTTCCTTGTCCACAGGGTGGCGCTAGCGTAGCCCAGCTTCTTAGGCAGCAGCCCTGGGCTCCTAAGGGCACAGAGTGGAAGCTGCCCAGGCCCTTTGATGACGTGGGGTTGGAGCCAGCAGAGCTTCTGTTCTGTCATATCCAGCTCAGATTTAAGGGAAGGGGACACCAGCCAAAGAACCTACCAGGCCCTTGTCCATGTCCTCTCTTCCAGCCACGGCAGTCTGCAATGCTGTTCCTCAGACATGCCGCTCTCACCTCTGCACCGGGCCTTTGCACCTGCTATGTCCCTCTGCCCAGGGTGCTCGTCCCCAGAATGCTCCAGCTGAATGTCACCATGATAGAAACCACACCTGACCCCACCTTAGCACAAACAGTGCAACCCCCTCCCCATTGCCTCCAGCCCTTTCCTCTACATGGGTTCCTTTCATCTCACTCATCACCTCTTATTGCCAGTTTATTTCCTGATCTCCTTCTCTCCTACCTCAAAGTGTAAGTGCCACGTGAGTAGGACGGGCACTTTATTCACCGTGGTTATGTTTGTTGAATGAATATTCAGGTTGAGGAAACTGAAACTCAGCCAGGTTAAGTAACTTTCCTGAAGAAACACAGCCAGTCATCTACAGGGGCAGGATTCAGCCCCTAGCAGGAGGCTAACACAGCTTCCTCCCACTGGGCTGATGCCTGGGGTCATAATGGCTGCCTGTGTCCTCCTTCCCCTGAGCTCAGTGACCTTCCTACAGTGAAAATATGATCAGACTTAAGGCCCACCGTGAATGTGGCTTCCCTACCCCTCCACAGAAATCCCACCTCCTTTAGACCACTACACAGGGCATGGCCAAGCTGAGCCTCGGCTGTGGCCTGATGTTCTAGAAAGATCGTGGGTCTTGCCGTCAGAGAGACCTCTTTTCTAGAACCCCTGGTCACACGTTTTCTAAAGACAGGCATGTTAGTTGTGCCCTTCATTCATTCATCCACAGAGTATTTAACATGTGCCGGGGCTGTGCTGGGTCCTGGGGAGTGGTGGTGAGGCCATGAGCACGGTTCGTGCCCCTCTGAGAACGTAGCGTCTGATGGGGGAGAGAGCCGTGATTCACGTGGTCACACAGATAGTGGCGAGGGCTGCCAGGGACTTGCTGGGTACAGGGAGATGTGTAACAAGGCACCTGTTGTGGTGCGGGCAGGAGGGGACCGTGGGGAAGTGGCTTCTGAGTAGTTCATAGGGAGATGAGGTGGAGCAGGTTCATCCGGGCACAGGGAACAGCACCCACAGAGGCTCGGAGGAGGGGGAGGAAGCTGAGCCTGTGTCAGTAGCTGAGAGACCCTATAAGATGTGGGAGTGGAGGAGCCAGAGAAGTGGAGTCAGATCATCAATGACTATTTGCTCATCTGCAAAATGGGCATAATAATAGTACTCACCTAGGTACTTGGGAGCATCTGGGGCCAGCGGAGGCTCGGCACCCCGAGGGCCGGTCTGGGATGGTCTCAGCCACCGCCATCCTCCTGCAGCTTAGCTCGGGCTTGTTCCAGCTTGCTCCAGGCAGAACTTGGAGCCTGCAAGCCCTCCCGAGGCTGGAGTTGACCCTGGCACAGCATCCCTTCCCCAACACCTGGGAAAAGCCCAGGAAGTAGAAGTTATTATTGCCATGTATTTGTATAGTGCTTTTTGCTTTTCCAAGTTTTGCTGCCTGCATTGTGACACCCCGCATGGTGTGAGTGTGGGGATGGCGGGAGCAATTGCTACCTCCATTGGACAAGTGAGAAGCACACTTTACAGATGGCATGCATACCACAAATGAACTCATCTGCAGCCTGTCCTTGCCCTTAGTGACATCCTGGCAAACAAACAAAAAAAAGATCCATAAGCTTTTGTCGCCGACCCAGGCTGATGGCCATCTGCATGTCTTGGTGACAGTCTCAGAGATGCAAATCTCTTGGGCAAGTTGTGTCTTTTGGCTTCCAGGCTCACAGGAGTGAATGACGGTTTTCTTCTCTGACCAGAGAACCTCTCTCTGGACTCCAGTAGCTTCTCCTCGCCGCCCGTGAACTTCCTTCAAGAATTGCCAAGCTACCGGTCGGTGGCACGGAGGAGGACGACCATCCCGGCCCGGGACAAGCAGAGCGGTGCTCTGCTGAAGCCGACGGACTCCTACAGCTCCCACGTGGAGGGAGGCATAGCCGAGAACCTCAGCAGCCAGTCCCTTCGGAAGTACGCCCTGAACATTTCTGAGAAGCGGAGGCTCAGGTCTGTAGCCACGTGCAAGGGTGTGATGTGTGGTAGGGGCATTGAGTTGTTTCTGGAAGAGCTCATATATTGAGAACTTTATTCCTTAAGCTGGACTGCTAGGACCTAAACACCCAAACTTGGAAGAGCCTAACATATTGGAACTTTGCCTCTTGCGCACATGAAGTCCCAAGTTCAGGTTGGTGGGGTCTTTGCAGCCATTCAGGGACCTAGGCGCCTCCCACCCCATGGCTCTGCACCCCGCTCCAGGCATCATTGTTGGGATCCAGCCAGCAGAAAGGAGGGGATGCAAAGGAGTGAGCGTGTCAGGCAGGCACACTGGATACCCATGAGTTAATAGCTTAACGACAGTTTCCTAAGTCTACAAGTCAGTTGGGCTATTTCTGTTTCCACTGGGCTCAGTACATGAGCACACTTACAAAAGCTGGGTGTTGTGGTACAGCGTGGTGGGCCACCGCTCGAGACACTGACACATCCCATATTGGAGCACCGATTCAAGTCAATGGTTGCTCTGCTTCTGATCCAGCTCCCTGCTGCAGTGGAAGATGGCCCAGGTCCCTCGGGCCCCTGCCACCCATGTGAGCAGACCAGGATGGAGCTCCTGCCTCCTGGCTTCAGCCTGGCCTGGACCTGGCTGTCGCAGCCATTTGGGGAGTAAACCAGCGGATGGAAGAGCACTGTCTCTCTGTCACTCTTCCTTTCAAATAAATAAGAATGGATAAATGAACATTAAAAATAATTCCCCAGGCATTGTCTAATGTCCCTTGGAAGGCAAAATCCCCCCAGTTGAGAACCACTAGCCTGAGGGTGGGTACCTTATTAACCCCAGTTTACAGATAGGGAAACTGAGGCGTAACACAACGAGGCCCATTTAAATGTAGGGTCCATGGCCCTTCCCTGCCCAGGAGCTCCCTGTCTAATGGAGGAGGACAGCCTAGAGGGCAGGTGGAGGCAGGTGCCATTGACAGTGAGACCCCACTGCTGAGTGGGGGGCACAGCTGAAGTCAGAGTGTCCACACACCCCACGCTTCGACTGCCTTCCAGCCACCCCGACTGCTCTCCTCTCTCCTCTGGCCTTGGCACCTTCTCTTTCCTCTGCTCCCTCTTATCTCGCCTCCCAACACCAACTTGGACTTGGGGTGCCTTTTCTGGGCCTCCCAAGCCCCAGATTCCCACAGGCAGTGCTCCCCCACAGGTATGTAGTTGTTGATTTCAGGATGTGGGTCCCCCTCTGGACTTGGAATTGGCCAGTGTTTCAGCAAATAGTTGAGAAGCAGACACATAGACAGACAGTCAGACACACACACAGCATGTGCCCGACTTCTGGTTCACTGCCCAGATGCCTATAGTGCCTGGGGCTGTGCCGGGGCTGGAACCAGGAACCAAGAACTCCAGGTCTCCTCCTCGCAGCAGAGACCTAAGTTCCCAAGCCGTTATCTGCTGCCTCCCAGGGTGCGCCTTCGTGGGAAGCCACGTGAAAATCAGGAACTTCATCATGCATCTTTTTTTTTTTTAATTACTTTATTTATTTGAAAGTCAGAGTTATACAGAGAGAGAAGCAGAGGCAGAGAGAGGTCTTCCATTCCACTGGTTCACCCCCCAAATGACCATAACGGCCAGAGCTGAGCTGATCTGAAGCCAGGAGCCAGGAGCTTCTTCCAGGTCTCCCACGCAGGTTACAGGGGCCCAAGGACTTGGGCCATCTTCTGCTGCTTTCCCAGGCCACAGAAGAGAGCTGGATCGGAAGAGGAGCAGCCGGGACTAGAACCGGCGCCCATATGGGATGCTGGGACTGCAGGGTGGGGCTTTAACCTGCTGGGCCACAACACCGGCCCCTAATCATTGGCATCTCAATCATTGCATTAAGCGCCCGCTCCTGAGTATTGTGTGTCCCTGTGCAGTTGCCTGGGGGAGGGAGGCATCAGTGAAGTGACGGCACAGTTGAAGAGGGTCGGGTGTCCCTGGAGATGGAGCGCGGGGCCCGGATTAGCGCTGGGCTGGGAACCCACAGGCACGGTGCTGGAGGCAGAGCATCGCCAGGTGGGTGTGCACGGCTCTACTGAGCCTCTGAAAGTTGCAACAGGGCTCGTTTTAAAAACCTGTTGTTATTGTCATAAACACCGCATAGAATTTGCCGTTTTAATCTTTTGAAGGTGGCAATTCGGTGGCATCTGCTGCACTGATAGATGTTACGCAGCTCTTACCATCGTCCAGATCTGCACAGTTCTCACCCCAAATGGGAGCCCCATACCCATTCGCCTCGGCCCAGGCCGCCACCAGCTTTGTCTCCGTCCCCATACATATGCCCATTCTGGATATTCCACGTCAAGGGGATCATACAGTGTGTAACCTGCTGTGTCTGCCTGCTGTCCCCTCGCTTGGTGTGCCCAAGGTTCATCCGTGTTGCAGGCGTGTATCAGTACTTCATGCCTTTTTACGGCTGAATAGTACTCCACTGTATGGAGAGACCTCATTTGTGTTTCCGTTTTACGCTGGTGGACAATTGGGTCATTTCCACCTTTTGGTGCTCCGAATGCTGCTGCCATGAGCGTCCATGACATACTTGTGTTTGAGAACTCTGGGTCCATCACTTTTGGGTCTGAACGTAGGATTGGAATTGCTGGGTCAGAGGGTAATTCTGTGTTTGACAGTTTGAGGAAGCACCAAACTGTTTTTCCTAGTGTTTGGCACTGTTTTACATTACCAACGGCTCTGGTTTTCCCTCATCCTCCTGGCTAGGTTGGTTGGTTGGTCTGTCTATCTATCTATCTATCTATCTGGGAGAGAGAGAGAGCTCTCATCCACTGATTCCCTCTCCAAATGCCCAGAGTGGCTGTGGCTGGGTCAGGACTCAATCTGGTCTCCCACATGGGTGGCAGGAACCCAGTTACTTGAGCCTTCATTACTGCCTCCAGGCTCTGGAAGAGGGAGCCAGAGCCAGGACTTGAACCCGGGCACTCCTATGTGGGCTGCAGGCATCTTAATCCCTAAGCCACATGTCCCACCCCTTGGCGAGGGTTTTCTCTGGTGCTGAGGCCTGGTGAGGCTGCTGTCGTCAAGGTCACAGTCACGGTCACGATCACTTTGTAACGCAGGGACATTCAGGAGACCCAGATGAAGTACCTGTCCGAGTGGGACCAGTGGAAGCGGTACAGCAGCAAGTCTTGGAAGCGGTTCCTGGAGAAGGCTCGCGAGATGACCACCCACCTGGAGCTGTGGCGGGACGACATCCGCAGCATAGAAGGTGCCCCACCCCCCCCCACACACACCTGTGCCTTCTCCTGCACCTGCTCTGGGCCTGTAGACAAAGTCCAGCTTCATTTGCAGGGAGCCCTGGCTGCGGCGGAGCGTTGCCTGCCGTGATGAGCGTGAGCGACGCACTGCACTTAGGCTGCGTGGAGCTGCGTCTTTGTCCCCAGGGAAGATCTCAGCTATTTTCTTGGCCTTCCAGGTGCAGCCGTCTTAGAGTCGCATTTGCACGCATCGCCATGTTGAAATTTCACCAGATTTTATTAAGTGTGCTAGGGCAGGTGCTCATCGCAAGTGTGCTTTTTGCTTTTAGACTGTGTATGTTTATCTCATAAGTATTTAAAACATTTTGCTTAAAAGGCAGAGAGACAGAGATCTCTCATCTGCTAATTTTACTCTTCAGATGACTACAATGGCTGGGGCTGGACCAGGCAGAAGCTGGGAGTCAGGAACTTGGTCCAGGTCTCTCGTGGGGAGTGGTGGAACCCACTTGTGCCATCATCTGCTGCTTCCCAGAGTCTACACTAGCAGGAAGCTGGAGTCGGGAGCTGGAGCTGGGAATTGAACCCCAGCACTCCGGTGTGGGAAGCAGGTTCCTTCCTCAGAGTCTTAACCACTAACCTGAACACTCACTCCTTTATTATTGTTTCGTGGGCATAATGTAAGCGTATGTCCAAGGAGCTTCATGAACTCCCTTAAAACGTCCACTATTCATCATTGGTTCTCTTTTCTCTTGAGATTTACACCTAACGAGTCTGGACCAAAATAATAAAGGCTAATCTATATTAAGTATGTACCATGAACCAGGCACTCAGTTAAGCCTCTTAATAAAGCTACTTATCACCTGCTTGGCACAGACAGGGTAAGACACTTGCCCAGGTTCATTCTGCTGTGAGGAGGCGGAGCCAGCATTGAACCTAAGCTTCAGTCCAGGGTATTGGTCACCATGCTAAACCGCCTCTGTGATGAAATGGCAGAGTTTCTGGAGATTTTAGCAGACAGTGGTTGAGAGGGGGTTAGAGGCACATCCTCCCTGGGGGGCTGCGGCTTTGACTCGCTCACTCTACTCCTGGGATTTCCTGGCTGGCAGGAGGAGATGCTGAGTATTAGAATTGGGACTGAGTGTTTAGGCCCGCTGCTAAGACGCAGGTTAAGATGCCCCTGTCTTCCATCAGAATGCCTGGGCTTGGTTCCTGGCTCCTGAGTTTAGCTTCCTGCAAATGCTGACCCCGAGAGGCAGTGAAGATGGCTCAGGTGGGATCCTGGCCACCATGTGAGACACCTGGACTGAGTTCCAAGCACCCAGCTTCAGCCTGGTTCAGCTCTGGCCATTAGAGGCATTTGCAGGCGTGAACAAGCAGATGGGAGCTTTCTCTGTCTGTGTTTCTGCTCTCTCTGTCTCTCAGTTAAGTAAATGGTTTTTTAAGAGAGAGAGAGAGAGAGAGAGAGAGAGAGAGAACGATTGTGAGTGCCTTCACTTTCAGAGGGTACATATTTTGCCTGTGGCCAGCACTCAGCCCCTCCTGTAGCATGCTGCCTGTCTATCCTCAGCCGCGTCATCATTCCCTGGTGGAGGGTTGGTGCCCTTTTCTTCCTTCCTTCCTTCCTTCCTTCCTTCCTTCCTTCCTTCCTTCCTTCCTTCCTTCCTTCCTTCCTTCCTTTCTTTCTTTCTTTTTAATTAAAAAATCAGAGTTACAGAGAAAGAGGGAGAGAGGGAGAGAGAGAGAGGAGAGAGAGAGATCTTCCATCTGCTGGTTCCCTCCCCAAGTGGATCGGCCCAGCTCCAGCCGTTGCAGCCATTTGGGGAGTAAACCACTAGATGGAAGACCTTTCTCTGTCTCTGCCTCTCCTTGTCTGTCTGTAACTCTGCCTTTCAAATAAATAAATGAATCTTTAAAGAAAAAAAAATAGGAGGGAGATAATTAATTGAAAGGAAGAAATAAAATGTCATTTTTTAGAGACAAATGACATGATATATATGTATCGAATAAAAAAGGCAAACTTGAAATTTAGGCTTTATAAAATTAATGTATTTCTATATACCAGCAATAAACATATAGAAAAAGGAATTTTTTAAATGATCCAACTTATAGTAGTACCCCAAAATGCCAAATAGCTAGGAGTATGTCGAAAAAAGATTGCAATAAATCGTCACAGGAGACTATAAGATTTGACTGAGAGAAGCTGAAGATCTAAGTATCCATGTTCACAGATCAGAAGACAGCATTATACAGTAAAATCCCAGCCAGAACCTGCAGAGTGTGTACACGCAGAGTGTGCATAGGAAAATTAATACTCTACGCCTCAAATTCATGAAGAAATGCAAAAAGCCAAGGATACCTTGGATACTAAAGCATGTATCAAGTCATATTAGAAATCTCTAGGCCGGCGCCGCGGCTCACTAGGCTAATCCTCCACCTAGCGGCGCCAGCACACCAGGTTCTAGTCCCGGTCGGGGCGCCGGATTCTGTCCCGGTTGCCCCTCTTCCAGGCCAACTCTCTGCTGTGGCCAGGGAGTGCAGTGGAGGATGGCCCAAGTGCTTGGGCCCTGCACCCCATGGGAGACCAGATAAGTACCTGGCTCCTGCCTTCGGATCAGCGTGGTATGCCGGCCGCAGTGCGCGAGCCGTGGCGGCCATTGGAGGATGAACCAACGGCAAAAGGAAGACCTTTCTCTCTGTCTCTCTCTCTCACTGTCCACTCTGCCTGTAAAAAAAAAAAAAAAGAAGAAGAAGAAATCTCTAGTAAGTAAGACAGTCTCATGTTAGCGCAAAGATAGACAAGTAGATCGTGGAGCAGGATAGAGTTCAGGAAGATTCATACCTGTGTGACCACCTGATTCCAAAAGGCAGTCAACAGATGGCGCTGAGTCAGCTAGATGAGAGCCTGCCCTCAAACCATCCTCAGTGAAATCCCGATTGTGAAAAGGTAGAGGCACTGGGAAGTGCAGGTGGGAAGTCAGCAGTAGGAAAATAAGTCTTTCTTCCTCTCTGTCCTTACCAAGATCGCTCCGCCTTCGGCTTTCGGTGGGTGTTGATGCTCCTGGTCAGTGATGTCCAAATTTCTCTTTTCCAGGGAAATTTGGCACTGGGATTCAGTCCTATTTCTCCTTCTTGCGGTTCCTGGTGTTGCTGAATATGGTGATATTTCTGATCATCTTTACGTTAGTTTTGCTCCCAATCTTGCTCACCAAATACAAAATCACCAATAGCACTTTTGTGCTCATTCCCTTCAAAGACACAGGTGAGTGAATGGCCTGGTTTCCCGTGGTGAGTGTTCCCTGCACGGGGTACCTAACCACACCTCTTCCTTTGCTACAAATCTTTATGCTGATTCTTAGTTGTGTTAGTTAGGACCTGCCAGAACAAATGACCCCGGAACTCCTGGTGTCCAGTAAGACTTGTTTCTCACTCATGTCCATCATGGGTTGAAAGTCAACTCCCTGGAGCCCAAGCTGGTGGAGCAGCCTCGGTCTGGACCATCAGTAGTCCCTGTGGCCAGGGGAGAAAGGTCCATGACAGATATGTGCTGTCTCCTGAACCTTCTGCCCCATCTCACTGGCCACAGGAAGACATTCAGCTTCTCCTGGCTGTCATGGGCATTTGGGGAGTAAGCCAGTGAGTGGAAGATCTCTCTCCCTCTCTGTGCCTTTCTAATAAACAAAATCTATTTTTAAAAGGTAACATACATTTCTCACGAGCTTTTCAAAGAGCTCTCACATAGCTGGCACATCTGCATATACTCACATGCACTCAGGAACGCAAATTGTGATATACGATTACAGACATTGTCAAACTGTATCCAACCCGTGTTCCTGTGTTTTGCAGACATACAGTGCACGTTGTATCCCATAAGCAGTTCGGGACTGATTTACTTTTACAGTTACGTCATAGACCTGCTTTCTGGCACTGTAAGTATTCCCCACACTCCTTTGCCTGGGCCCTCCATGTACCAAGTGTTTGTTGATTTAAAGACCTGTTCCCTGCGTGTCTGGAGGGAAAGGAACCGCATTTGCCGTTGTCTCATCCGCGTGTTTCCTGCCGTTCTGAACAAGGAAATGCACTTTGTCTTTTTCCGCCACTGGCCTCATCCTGGTCTCTGCCACCTTGGGGTTGACCTTCAGTAAAATACTGAGCTCTCCCAAAGAGAGAAGTGAATGACAGGGAACCATGGAGAATTTATTTCTCTGGCACTGAAAAACCTAGACTGTGTGGATGAAAACTATGGCTTTTTTTTTTTTTTTTTTTTTTTTTTTTTTTTTTTGGTGAAAGGCAGAGTGGACAGTGAGAGAGAGAGACAGAGAGGAAGGTCTTCCTTTGCCATTGGCTCACCCCCCCAAACGGCCACTACAGCTGGTGCGCTGCGCCAATCCGAAGCCAGGAGCCAGGTACTTATCCTAGTCTCCCATGAGGGTGCAGGGCACAAGCACTTGGGCCATCCTCCACTGCACTCCCGGGCCACAGCAGAGAGCTGGACTGGAAGAGGAGCAACTGGGACAGAATCCAGCACCCCGACCAGGACTAGAACCCGGTGTGGGTGTGCCAGTGCCGCAGGCAGAGGATTAGCCTATTGAGCCACGGTGCCGGCCAAGCCACTGCTTTCAATGCTGGCATCTAATATGCAGTGCTAATTCGAATGCTGGCTACCCCACTCTGATCCAGCTCCCTGCTAATGCACCTGGTAAGGCAGCAGATGATGGCTCAAGCACTTAGGTCCCTGCCACCCGTGTGAAAGACCTGGTTGGAGTTCTGGGCTCTTGGCTTTGGCCTGGCCCAGCCACATCTGTTTTAGCATTTGGGGAATGAACTAGGAAATGAACTCTCTCTCTCTCTTTCACCCTACCTTTCAAAGAAGTTAATACATCTTAAAAAAAAAAAAAAAAAAAAAGGGCCGGCGCCGTGGCTCAATAGGCTAATCCTCCACCTTGCGGCGCCGGCACACCGGGTTCTAGTCCCGGTCGGGGCGCCGGATTCTGTCCCGGTTGCCCCTCTTCCAGGCCAGCTCTCTGCTGTGGCCAGGGAGTGCAGTGGAGGATGGCCCAGGTGCTTGGGCCCTGCACCCCATGGGAGACCAGGAAAAGCACCTGGATCCTGGCTCCTGCCATCGGATCAGCGCGGTGCGCCGGCTGCAGCGGCGGCCATTGGAGGGTGAACCAACGGCAAAAGGAAGACCTTTCTCTCTCTGTCTCTCTCTCTCACTGTCCACTCTGCCTGTCAAAAATTAAAAAAAAAAAAAAAGAGAGAGAGAGAGGGGGAGAAAGAGAGAAACACTAAAGCATTCTTTTTAAAAATTGCTGGCATTAAAATGCCATGTCATTGAACTCCCACTTTATCTGAATAGATAAGTAGAAAGCCTTTCATTTGTCCACTGCATTTGATGTAGAAAAAATACCTTTACATCTTGTTGTCATTTTTAACCACAACACAACACAGGGAAATTGTCAGGTGAGTTCACATGTCCACCGCGCTGTGAGAAAACTGAAACTAGGCAAATGAGACGTGACATTTAGTGACTCACGGAAGGTCACATCGCTGCTGATGGCAAAGCCGGATCAAATCCCCAAATTGTCAGCTTCCTTCCTTCCTTCCTCCCACCCTTCCTCCCTCCCTCCCTCCCTTCCTGCCTTTCGTTTGTGGGGGGCGGGGTTATATGTTTATTTTTCATCTACTTGAAAGGCAGAGAGAGAGAGAGAGAGAGAGAGAGAGAGAGATCTTCCATCCACTGGTTTACTTCCCAGATGCCTTTAGTAGCCAAGAGTGATCAGGCTGAAGCCAGGAGCCTGGAACTTCCTCCGTCAGGGCCCCAAGCGCTTGCACTGTCACCTGCTACCTATAGGGATGTACTAGCAAGAAGCTGGATTGGAAGCAGAGGAGCTGGGACTTGAACCAGCACTCTGATACATGTGTGGGCGTCCCAAGTGGAGGCTTAACCCATTGTGCCACGATGCCCACCCCAGCCCTATTTCTGTAGTTTACATCCCACGAAAGAAGTTTCTGGTTGTGAATAGAATTGCTGGGTTACATTGTAATCCCATGTCGAGCTTTCTGAGGAATCTCCAGACTGTTCCAAACTGACTGCATAATTTTACACGGCCACCAGCGTTCTGTGCGAGCTCTGCTCCCTGCATAGCCTTGTCAACCCTTGTTGTTACCTGGCTTTTCAATGGCAGCCATCCTAGTCTGGTAATGTCATAGCTCATTGTGTTTTAAAAACTTTATTGTTTTCACATTATTTGAAAGGCAAAGAGACAGAGAGTGAGACAGAGAGAGTGATCTATCCACTGGTTCATTCTAGGGATGGACCAGGCTAAAGCCGGGAGCCTGCAGCTTCATCCAGGTCTCCCACGTGGGTGTTAGGGAGCCAAGCTCTTGGGCCATCATCTGCTGCCTTCCCTGGCGCAGTAGCAGGGAGCTGGATGACAGAAGCCAAGACCCAGACCAACACTGTAGTGTGCAGTGGAGCCAACCCCCAGCAGCAGCTTAACCTGCTGTACCCCAAGCCAACCCCTAAGCTGATGTTTGTGTTGTGACGTCAGGGTCCAGCTTCTTTTGCATGGTGTCAGCATATTTGTTGAAAGACCGTTTCCCTTATGGCCGGCGCTGTGGCTCACTAGGCTAATCCTCCACCTGCGGCGCCGGCATCCCAGGTTCTAGCCCCAGTCAGGGCGCCGGATTCTGTCCCGGTTGCTCTTCTTCCAGTCCAGCTCTCTGCTGTGGCCCGGGAGTACAGTGGAGGATGGCCCAAGTGCTTGGGCCCTGCACCCGCATGGGAGACCAGGAGGAAGCACCTGGCTCCTGGCTTCAGATCAGCGCAGCACACCAGCTATAGCGGCTGTTTGAGGGGTGAACCAGCGGAAGGAAGACCTTTCTCTCTGTCACTTACTTACCAGTTCTTTCCCCCTGGTCTGTTCTTGAGCCACAACCACACTTGGTTACTGTTTTGCAGCTGGGATCTGAGTGCCCCAACTTCCTTCTTTTCCACACATGGTTCCTCCCTTGCGATTCCATATGGATCTTGGGAGCCACTTGTCGGTTTCCACGTAGAAGCCGGTTACGATTCCATCGAATCTGTAGACCCACTGACCCATGACCGTGGGATGTTTTCCCGTTTATGTAGATCATCTTTTTTTTTTTTTTTTTTCAGCAATGATTTGTAGTTTTCAGGTATAACTTGCACTCCTCTGTTTCAGTCGAATCCCAAGTGTTTTGTTCTGATGCTATGCGTGGAATTGTTTTTCTCAATTGTAGCTTTGGGTTTTCCTCCTGGGTTTTTGTCGTGCTCAGGTTCGATCAGTGCCTTACTCCCTGTCACTGAGGGATCCTCCCCTGTGGGCCAGGGGTACAGGGATGTACCAGGCCACTGTGCTATGAGTTCCTCGAGGCGGGACCGCTCTGCTGGTTTCCCGCAGTGAGCGGACCAGCCCGCCCGCGTGCCCTTGGCTTTGTTTCAGGGTTTCTTGGAGGAGACCAGCCTCTTTTATGGACACTACACCATTGACGGGGTGAAATTTCAGAACTTCACCTATGACCTGCCCCTGGCGTATTTGTTAAGCACCATTGCCTACCTGGCCCTGAGCCTTCTGTGGATTGTGAAAAGGTAAAGTTTAGTTTGTTCTGACGGCGCCTTCTCTTCTAATTACCCCGGACGGCCAAGTGCAGGTCAGGGGGCTTCTGGGAGCCATTTCCCCGAGGATGAGCGGGATCCTGGGGTGGGAGCTTCCTGGGAGGGATTTGTGATTCAGCCAGGATTTGGGAGCTGGGTTGCAGCTTTGAGTTTCCCAGGGAGTGGTCACTGAGCGCATTAGATCCCCCACCCAGCTCTCTGGGTCCAGGGGAACGATCTTTTCTGGGTCCAAGCTTCTTTGTGTGTGAAATGTAGGTGTAGCCTGAAAAAATCTGAGATTTCCAGCTGGGGCGGATCACCGTGAGCTTCATAGAACACGGAATTTGTGGACAGCACTTGAAACCTGCTGAAGTTGGCGTCCCAGGGCGTACAAGTGTTTGGGGATCTGCATTTGGGGAATGCAGCCGAGGTGGTTTTGATAGAAATTCTTCACCGTGACCCTCGGCTAAAGGGCAGAGTGCAGAGCGATTCCTTCCAGCCCTGCTGTCTTCACAAAGCCTCACTAGCGAATCCTAAAAGCAACCTGTTTCGTCTACATTGCTGTTTTCATACCATCAGGTTCCAGGGTGCTTATTTTTCCACAAGGGCACTTGAATGAATAGTTTATGAAGTATGCAATAGAACTCCATCTGGCCTGAACAGGTGCCCCCTGAATATCTAATTTACTGCTTAAGTTGTTAGTTCATTCACTTGTATGTTGGCCGTGTTATGTTCCAGGCATTCGGGATAGCAAGGTGCCAGACAGCTAGAGTATCTGCCCTCAAAGAATCTGAAATTTGCTAAGAGGAAGGGCTGCAAGCTAGAAAAAAATAAATAAAAAATTTGCAGATCGGATTGGTTGCTATAAAAGAAACAAAGAGGAATGACGTGAAGTGGGGGGTTTGTCATTCTGGACGGGGGATGAAGAGCTGTGGACTAGGGGGATATTTGAGCTGAAGCCTGGAGGTTGGGAAGGAGCCAGCGGAGTTGGGAAGAACCATGTATGGAGAGGGTGGTGGAAACTGCCATGTGCAAAGGCCCTGAGGCAGGATTTGATGACAGAACGCCAGTGTAGTAACAGCAGTGCAGTCATATGGGAAGAAGATGGCAGAGCCGGATCCTGCAGGGTCTCCAGGCTGTTGTAGAGTTTGGATTTTATTCCAGCTGTGATCCACGTTGCTGCGTGGGAAAGGGAAATGACTTTTAGCAATGAGGTACCTGCTCAGTGGTAACAAATGCTTTTTTTTTTTTTTTAATGTTTACTTATTTATTTGAGAGGCTTAGAAAGAGAGGAAGACAGATAGAAAGAATGAGAGAGTTCCCGTTCACTGGTTCACCCCCCAAATGCCTGCCATGGCTGGGCGTGGGCTGAGGAAGCTGGGAGCCAGGCACTCAGTCCAGGTGTTCCCCTGGGTGACAGGAGCCTGATGACTTAAGCCAGCACTGCTGCCACCCAGGGCCTGTCTACATCAGCAAGAAACTGAATCAGGAGCCAGAAGTGGGCACTGTGACACGTGACACAGTGTCTCAGCCAGCAGCTTAACCACGAGGCCAAACGCGCCCCCGCCCCCACTTATATTAAAACGGTCCAAAATGGGACAGTGTCCAAATGGGCCGAAAACACAGCCGCGTCTAACTCGTCCCATGTTAGGCAGAGGGAGCTCACGGGCCTGTATTTGGTGGTGGTTCTTGTAAGTGGAATACGCGTGTTTTGGGCTCAGGTCGGTGGAAGGATTCAAGATCAACCTGATCCGCAGCGAGGAGCACTTCCAGAGCTACTGCAACAAGATCTTCGCCGGCTGGGACTTCTGCATCACCAACCGCAGCACCGCAGACCTGAAGCACAGCAGCTTGCGGTATGAGCTCCGAGTGAGTGTGGCTGGCTCTGCACCCGGCAGGCCCCCCCCCCCCCCCAGCAGGACGGCGCCCAGGGAGGCTGAGTGGGCAGCTTGCAAAGGTGCTAGGCGGGGACAGGGCTGTCCTCTGGGCTTCACACGTTTCCTCTAGGTAGTTGTCAAGTGCTCTCTGCAGCAGGTATTGGGGTTGGTACCTTGAGCCCAAGCAGTGGTGCTAAGGAGTTGGGGCTGGGAAGGGAGTTGGGGGGCTCCGTGGGTGGGGGGAGATGAGTCTTCCACCTGCTTCCTGCTACCTTACATTGTTATTCTTCAACCTGATGAGAACCGGGAGACGGGGTCTAAGGAGGCCAGGCTAGGATGGTAGGGTAGAGAGGAGAGAATATGAGAAAGTACAAGCGAGTTTCCAAATGAACAAGGAGAGAGGGAGCACCAGACAGCATCCTGAGCAGATCTGCCCAAAAGGAGGAATAACCAAATCGGCTTTATAAAGAAAGGTGGGAGGGAGCAAATCAAATATATTATTACTTACCCCAAATAGGAACAGGTCACATTCTCCTGTTAAAAACAGTGCCTACCAAACTGGGTTAAAAAAAACCTGTATCCGGAGTGGGCATTATGGCAGAGTGGGTAAAGCTGCCGCCTGCAACACCAGCATCTTATATAGGCGCTGGTTTGTGTCCTGGCTGTTCCGCTTGTGATCCAGCTCCCTGCTAATGGCCTGGGGAAAATGCAGCAGCAGATTGGCCATGTACTTGGGTCCCTACCACCCACGTGGGAGACCCAGAGGAAGCTTCTGGCTCCTGGCTTTCACCTGGCTCAGCCCTGGTCACTGTCACCATCTGGGGAGTGAACCAATGGATGGAAGATCTCTCTCTCTCTCTCTCCCTCCCTCCCTTTCTCCCTCCCTCCCCCCAGCCCCGTAACTTGGACTTTCAAATAAATGAACCAAATATTTTTTGTTGTTGTTAAGATTTTCTTTATTTATTTGAGAGGGAGAGTTACAGAGAGAGGGAGAGACAAGGGAAAGGTCTTCCATCTGCTAGTTTGCTCCCCAAATGGCTGCAATGGCTGGAGTTGGGCTGATCCAAAGCCAGAAGCCAGGAGCTTCTTCTGGGTCTCTCATATGGGTGTCAGGGCACAAGCACTTGGGCCATCTTCCATTGCCTTCCCAGGTGCATAAGCAGAGAGCTGGATCAGAAGAGGAGCAGCCAGGACTCAAAGCAGTACCCACATGGGATGCCAGCACCTCAGGCAGAGGCTTAGCCTACTAAGCCACAGTGCCGGCCCCAAATAAATAAAAGTCTTTTTAAAAAAGACTATTTTTTATTTTTATTTTTTAAAAAAACCTGTATCCACCTATATGCTGAGTAATGAAGTAGCACATATTATATGTAAGCAGTGTCATAAGTAGATTTGTATGTTCATGTTTATTGCAAATGTGCATTGCAGTTTTACGTAGGAGATTCTACCTTGACTTAGACCTTTAGTAGGCAAAACAAAAACAAAACGAAATGAAAACCCTCAAGTGGGCTCAGTGTGGGATGGTGTCTTGGGTGAGACGAGTATTTAATGTTAGCTGTGGTGGGAAGGTGTCACAGCTTCTAAGCCCAGATGCCCCCCGCTGCCAGTGCTCACAAATGCTTTTTCTTTGGTCGTCAGGCAGATCTGGAGGAAGAACGAATACGGCAGAAAATCGCAGGAAGGACCTCAGAGGAAACGATTCGCATTTACTCGCTGAGACTGTTTCTGAACTGCATTGTTCTGGCCGTTTTAGCCGCGTGCTTTTATGCGATCTATATAGCCACTATATTCTCGCAGGAGCACATGAAGAAGGTAAGTCCTCCACCTGCGTCTGTTTAATTTCTCCTCTGGCTGGACGTTCCACTCGTAGCACAGTATGCCAGTGAAGCAGGTATCCTCATGGTTATATTGACATACGCGGACGTAAGTTTGGCTGCAAACGAGAGGTGTCACTTTCCCTTTTTTTTTTTTAGAGAGATTTATTTATTTGTTTGAAAGGCAGCGTTACAGAGAGGCAGAGAGAGAGACATCTACTGGTTCACTCCCCAAATGGCCACAATGGCCGGAGCGGTGCCAATCTGAAGCCAGGAGCTTCCTCTGGGTCTCCCACATGGGTGCAGGGGCCCAGGGACTTGGGCCATCTTCCACTGCTTTCCCAGGCCACAGCAGAGAGCTGGATCAGAAGTGGAGCAGCCGGGTCTCAAACCAGCGCCTACATGAGATGCCGGTGCTTCAGGCCAGGGCGTTAATTTACTGCGCCACAGCGCCGGTCCCTTCTCCTCTTCTTGAAGAACCTGGAGGTCGACTTAAAACATTTCCTTGGCCAGAATGTAGTCACCTGGCTGTCCCTAGCCACGGGAAGGCCAGGAAGTTTAGTTTTTATCTTGGATAGTGTCGCGGGTCGGGGAGGGGAGGGACTCTGCCCTGTCATCCTGTCCACCTCCATGGCCATTAAGATCCCTGGAATGGACACCTGGACACATCATCATTCCAGAGTGAAAAAGTGGAGCCTGTACATAGCATTCTACCTACATGTAGGGGACCCTGAGACCCCCTGCCCCACCGGACGGCCTCAGCTAGATAATAGTCTGTTCCAAGAAACAAGAGAGTGGCCATTACAAAGCCTTTGGTACCACATCCCTGAGGATATATTAAATCCCCATTCCTAGAGGACACATGGATGTTTTTATTCTTCACCTTCATAAATCCGACAGAGCTCAGTACCGCTCTTCCAGGCAGTGACACAGTCCTGTTTGGAGGGAAGAGGGAAGAGATGGTGTATGTTCAGGGTCCACACTGAATGAGGAATAGGTTGTGTGTGTTTGTAGACAGGCACAGTTGAGTACCCTCCTGCTCATCCCATTTGTGTTGCAACCTCCCTTGTTACACTGCTGACCAATACGTTTTGCTGTCCGCTCAGGAAATTGACAAGATGGTTTTTGGAGAGAACCTCTTGATATTGTACCTGCCGTCTATTGTGATCACGCTGGCCAATTTCATCACCCCCATGATCTTTGCCAGGATCATCCACTATGAGGATTACTCCCCGGGATTTGAGATCCGGCTGACGATTCTCAGGTAACGCCCAACTCTGGAGTGGCAGGCATGCCAAGCATGCACCTCCTCGCTTCCTTGCCCATGGCAGACATTGCTAATCAATTATGGCACCGTGTCCCGCTGAGCCAACATTCAGATGAGCCCCAGGACCAAGCAGAGTCTGTGCAAGCAGACTCGTCAGTATTAACACTGTGGTCACAGTGACAGCTGGGGGCGTAGGAGGGGGCCCAAGGAGGAGGTGTCGCTCAAAGATGTCAGAGATGATAAGTGTTAAGGCAAGCCCAGGGAGTTCACACAAATGAGCCAAGAGGGCCAGGTGGGGATTGTGTGGAACTAGAGTTTTCTTTCTGCCTCTCAGATGCCCGAATTTGCATATCTCTTTTTTTCTAAGCTTCCAGTTTTGGAAATTTCCAAAGAGCACAAATCGTATAATGGAGCCCCACGCACCCGTCCCCTAGTTGGAACTGTTCCCAGCGTTTGGCCGATCTTGTTTCATCCGTTACCTGACCTTTGCTGGACTATTTTAAGCACATTCCCAGCCACATGTCCTTGCACCTGTCAGCACCTCACGGGATCTGTACGCACCAAGGGACTGTTTCTGTTTTGACATAAGCATCATCGCACTTTAGGAAGTTGAGTCTGTCTCCCTGACGGAGTTGCAGACAGCCACCTGAGACTGGTTTGTTCAAATCAGGCTCTAAACAAGATCCACTTGTTGTTACTTCTCTGTGGTCCATTTTATTCTTTCAAGAATTGGCCTGGGGGCCGGCTAAGCCTCCACTTGCGGCTCCAGCATCCATCCCACAAGGGTGCCAGTTCATGTCCTGACTGCTCCACTTCTTTTTTTTTTTTTTTTTTTTTTTTTTTTTTATTTAACAGGCGGAGTTAGACAGTGAGAGAGAGACACAGAGAGAAAGGTCTTCCTTCCGTTGGTTCACCCCCAAAATGGCCGCCATGGCTGGCACACTGTGCCAATGCAAAGCCAGAAGCCAGGTGCTTCTTGCTGGTCTCCCATGCGGGTGCAGGAGCCCAAGCACTTGGGCCATCACTGCCTTCCCAGGCCACAGCAGAGAGCTAGACTGGAAGAGGAGCAACCGGACTAGAACCGGTGCCCATATGGGATGCCGGCCCATGACTGCTCCACTTCTGATCCAGCTCTCTGCTTATGGCCTGGAAAAACAGTGAAAGATGGCCCAATGGCTTGGGTCCCTGCACTCACTTGGGATACCTAGAAGAAGCTCCTAGCTTCTGACTTTGGATGGGCTCAGCTCTGGCCATTGCAGCCATTTGGGGAGTGAACCAGTATATGCAAGACCTTTCTATCTCTCTCCCTTTGTAACTCTACTTCTCAAATAAATAAATCAAATCTAAAAAAAAAAAAAAAAAGAATCGGCCTGTCTCCATTTCAAAAGTATCTGTGGGGCCAGCACTGTGGCGCAGCGTGTTGACACCTGGCCTGAAGCACTGGCATCCCATATGGTCACCAGTTTGAGACCCGGCTGCTCCACTTCCAATCCAGCTCTCTGCTGTGGCCTGGGAAAGCAGCAGAAGATGGCCCAGGTCCTTGGGCCCCTGCATCCACGTGGGAGACCCGGAAGAAGCTCCTGGCTCCTGGCTTCTGGCTTCCAGTCGGCACAGCTCCGGCCATTGAGGCCAACTGGGGAGTGAACCATTGGTTGGAAGACCCCTCCCTCCCTCCCTGTCTCTCTCTCTCTCTCTCTGCCTCTCCTCTGTCTGTATAACTCTGACTTTCAAGTAAATAAGTAAATCTTTTTTTAAAAAAGTATTTATTAGGAAGGCAGAGTGACAGAGGAAGAGACAGACAGAGAGGTCTTCCATCTGCTGGTTTACTCCCCAGATGGCTGCAATAGCCAGAGCTGGGCCAGGTTGAAGCTCAGAGCCAGAAACTCCATGTGGCATGGGCCCAAGTACTTGAGCCATCACTTGATGCCTCCCACGGGGTACATTGGCAGGAAGCTGGATTGGAAGCAGAGCCAGGACTATATCCCAGACCCTTTGATATGGGATGCAGGGTTGGAGCTGGCGCTGTGGCCTGGTGGGTCGCCAGCATCCCATACCAGTACTGGCTTGTGTCCTAGCCACTCCTCTTCCAATCCAGCTCTCTGCTGATCACCCAGGACAGCAGTGGGAGATGGCCCAAGCACTTCCTTTGCTTCTGTGTCCGTCTGTGGGTCTGCTTTTGAGAATGGCGGCCTGGGCCTCTGCCAGCTTGCCCTGAGGACCGGCTCCGGCCCCGCCGTCTCCCCTGCAGGTGCGTCTTTATGCGAATGGCCACCATCTGCGTGCTGGTGTTCACTCTGGGCTCCAAAATTACCTCCTGTGACAACGGCCCCTGTGAGCTCTGTGGCTACAACCAGAAACTCTACCCGGTGAGCCGCAGGGGTGGGCTGACCACTTGGGAGGGGAGCACAGCTGTCCCAGTGGCTCCCTCTGCACGGAGCTCACAGGTGCATCAGTCAGTGCCCTCACCAGAGACCGCAGGCTCCGGAGGTGGGGGTGGTGGAGGGGGTGGAGTTGGAAGGGCCCCAGGGACCTGGCTTCCTCTGCCCCCAGGAGGGTCTCTCCGTTTCTCTCACTGTCTTTGCTCTCAGTGCTGGGAGACCCAGGTCGGGCAGGAAATGTACAAGCTGATGATCTTCGACTTCATCATCATCTTGGCGGTGACGCTCTTTGTGGACTTCCCGAGAAAGTGAGTGTGAGGGGTGCCCCTCTGCCCTCCTTCCCCCCGGGGCTGGTTGCTGCCCTCCCAGCCATTCCCACAAGGTGCTTGGTGACTCCACAGCCCCAAGAATCCACTGCCAGCCGCTGACTTCCCGGCAGCTCCAGGCTGTCAGCCCCATGGTGTGGATGCCACATTTTCTGTCCCAGCACTGTCATTTGCCAGTCACCTGAACTTGGGCAACTTAGTTATATTTGGTGCTTGTTTGCTTTCTTTTTTTTAAAAAGAGATCATTTATTTGAAAGGCAGAGTTACAGAGAAAGAGAGAGAGAGAGAGAGATCTTCTACCTGCCGGTTCACTTTCTAAATGGCTGCATCAGAAAGCCAGGACCCTGGAATTCCACCTGGGTCTCCTGTGTGGGTGCAGGGCCCCAGCGTTTGGGCTGCCCTCCGCTGCCTTCCCAGGTGCATTGGCAGGGAGCTGGATTGCAGGTAAAGCAGCTGGGAATTGAAGCGGCGTTCAAATGCAATGCCGGTGTCTCAGGTGACGCCTGAACCCACTGCACTACAGCACTGGCCCCTCAATGTCTCTTTGTTGACCTGTGGAAGAGGGATAATGGCAGGGCCCAACTCATAGCCTTGTTGCAAGGATTAAATAAGACGGTGCTGTGTAGCTCAGCAAAAGGTCCACAGTCACCATGCAGCTGCTACTACTGTGTTGTCATTTTCGTTACCATTCTTGGCATCTCCCGGGCTCTGGAGGGAATCCCTGTGTTCCCTGAGGCAATTTTTCAGCCCCACAGACAAGTGAGCTGGGCTCAGACCAGATATCCAATGAACCCTTAAAAGCAAGCATTAAAAAGGAAACTTCTGTTTTAAAAATTTCTACCAACAAGAGATTAACATGAGGTTATTTTTATAATTAGGTATTTTTTAAAGATTTCTTGATTTATTTATTTGAAAGTCAGAGTTACACAGAGAGAGAAGGAGAGGCAGAGAGAGAGAGAGAGAGGTCTTCTATCCACTGGTTCACTCGCCAGATGGCCACAACGGCTGGAGCTGCGCCAATCCGAAGCCAGGAGCCAGGAGCTTTCTCCAAGTATCCCACGTGGGTGCAGGGACCCAAGCACTTGGGCCATCTTCCACTGCTTTCCCAGGCCAAAGCAGAGAGCTGGATTGGAAGTGGAGCAGCCCATATGGGATGCCGGCACTATAGGCGGCAGCTTCACCCGCTATGCCACTATAATTTAGATATTTAAAATTTATTTTTATATTTGTTTATTTATTTATTTATTTATTTATTTTTGACAGGCAGAGTGGACAGTGAGAGAGAGAGACAGAGAGAGAAAGGTCTTCCTTTGCCGTTGGATCACCCTCCAATGGCCGCCGCTGCAGCCGGCGCACCGTGCTGATCCGATGGCAGGAGCCAGGATCCAGGTGCTTTTCCTGGTCTCCCATGGGGTGCAGGGCCCAAGCACCTGGGCCATCCTCCACTGCACTCCCTGGCCATAGCAGAGAGCTGGCCTGGAAGAGGGGCAACCGGGACAGAATCCGGCGCCCCAACCGGGACTAGAACCCGGTGTGCCGGCGCCGCAAGGTGGAGGATTAGCCTATTGAGCCACGGCGCCGGCTTGTTTATTTATTTTTAAAAGTACAAGTTGAGTATCTTTTTTTTTTTAAGTTTACTTTATTTATTTGAAAGGCAGAGTTAAGAAAGAGGAAGAGACAGAGAGAAAGAAATCGTCCATCTGTTGGCTTATTCCCCAAATGGCTGCAATGGCCGGGGCTGGGCCAGACTGAAACCAGGAGCCTGGAGCTCCATCCCAGTCTCCCACATGGGTGGCAGGAGCCCAAACACTTCTGCTTCTTTCCCAGGAGCATTAGCAAGGAGCTAGATCAGAAGTGGAGCAGCCAGGACTCGAACCAGTGCCCATATGGGATGCTGGCGCTGTGGGCAGCGGCTTTACCCGCTATGCCACAAGTTTCTGTTTTTCAACATTGATATCTTTGCTCCCTTCTACAAGTTGGCCCCTTCATAATGTCATAATGTCCTGTTTGCCCATTGCTAAGTCGGCAACCTGCTTGTATAAGCCAGTTACAGCCACGGACAAGTAGCTTTCCATGTAGCATTTTATATCGGAGATGGACCCTTAGATGCTTTCTTACAAGACCTGGGAGCTGCCCGTTTAGTGGGGACAGGCATGTGAGTGGGCGTGGTTCTGCGGCCATCTGAGCTCACAGCTGTGCCGTGTGCTCCAGGCTCCTGGTGACCTACTGCTCCTCCTGGAAGCTGATTCAGTGCTGGGGGCAGCAGGAGTTTGCCATTCCCGATAACGTGCTGGGCATCGTGTACGGGCAGACCATCTGCTGGATCGGAGCCTTCTTCTCACCCCTTCTCCCAGCCATCGCGACCTTGAAATTCATTATCATCTTTTATGTGAAGGAGGTAAGGAGAGAGGCAGGGGAGGGGGTGCATCCCTTTCTTCCTTCTTTTAAATATGTATTGAGTCCTCAGTGGGGTGGCAAGGGGCGGGGCAGGAGGGGGAATTCCACCTGCTCCCCAAATCCTGCAATGGCTAGGACTGGACCAGGGCTGAAGCTGAAGCCCGGAGATGGGAACCCGATCCAGGCCTCCCGTGTGGGTGGCAGGGACCCCGCTCTGTGAGCCGTCACCGGCTGCGCCCCCTGCCACCGCAGGCACAGTAGCAGGAAGGAGGGATTGTGAGCAGAGTCACGGTTGCCCCAGGAGCTGGACTCACTGTTCTTGGGTTGTTCTTGCCTTTTCTCGCCCAGCTGAGTCTTCTGTACACGTGCAGACCCTCCCCCAGGCAGTTCCGAGCATCCAATTCCAACTTCTTCTTCCTGCTGGTGCTGTTGATCGGGCTCTGCTTGGCGATCATACCTCTGACGATCAGCATGACACGGTAAATAGGAGCTGTATTCTGGGACATATCCTCTCAGGGGCCGTTTTTTAAAGACTGACTTATTTGAAAGAGCTACCAAGAGACAGAGATTCTGTCTGCTGGTTCACTCCCCAAGGGACTCGAATCCGTGTTCCATATGGGATGCCAGCATTGCAGGTGGTGACTTAACCCGCTGCCCCACAGCGCCGGCCCCAGCGCAAGCATTCTCGACCAGAATATTCCAGAAGGTTCTGGAAGTCAGATCCTGGCAGGCCATTGTTACCGCTGCATTCTGGACGGGCAGAGGGGGGCGCTCCGCCTGTGCTGAGCCCCTGCTCTCTCTCGGGCAGTATCCCTTCCTCAAAAGCCTGCGGGCCCTTCACCAACTACAACACCACGTGGGCGGTCATCCCCACCACGGTGAGCACCTTCCCCAGCTCGCTGCAGTCCTTGGTCCACGGCGTCACGTCGGAAGCCTTCGCTGTGCCTTTCTTTATCATCATTTGGTGAGTGAGAACCGCCGGGACCCTGGCCGGTATCCCCATCGGGCATGTGGGTGCCCCTGAGCCTCAATGTCCTGTCTGTAAAATGGGCACGACAGTCTCCCGGGGAGTCACGGAGTAGGTTTAGAAAGACCCCACATATGAAGAACCTGGTCTAAGGCGTGGCTTATTAAAACCCAACAAAATGTTGCCTGTGATCAATACAAGGGGACTTCAAAAAGACCATGAGGAATGGAGTTAAAACACAAGTGTACTTTGGGGCAAAAGATTATGAACGCTTAATACACCTTCCCAGTAACTTGTGTGACTGCTTATTCAGACGCTCTTGGTCTGTGGAAAAGGAGCGGGTTCCTGGGCTAGAGGGAAGAGCACCAGGTCGGGGACAGGCGCCTGAACCCTGGTTGTCCCGCTGAGAAGCTGTGAACAGCTGGGGTTGATGGAGTGTGCTGTAATATATGCTGACTCATGAAACCATCCCAGTCACTCTGATGTATTTTATTACACTGGAAGGCAAGTAGTGAGCCTCCAAAAGTTTCACCCATGAAACAGCAGGTTAATAAAGCGACTTGGGGTCGCAGGTTCCCGGCTGCACCCTAATTGCTCCATCCTCCTGGGTTTCCCTGGCTGTGTTTGGGCTGGCGCCACCTGGTGGCCATTATGGTTGCCTACTCCGACTTCACTGAAGGCCATTGTCAGAATATTGTTGCCATCGGTGATTCTAGAAACTTCCGGGTTACTTAGTCCTCATTTCCCCAGCCCTGTCTGGAGAGATTGCACAAGAAACCAAATCCCTGTCATTAAATGATGCCACCTGCTGTCATCTTGCAGGGCTTGCCCTCCTTATACTTGTCCCCAGTGTTAATATTTCTCTCAGGTTGCTAGCAGTAGGTTTTGCTCTGCTAACCCTATTTTACAGATGCAGAAACTGAGGCCAGAGAGGCCTAAGTCAGGTCTGCCGCCCTTCCAAATAAAACTTCCTGTGACTGGGCCTGGTCCCTTCTGCTTGGAAAAGATGAGGGTGTTTATTTTTTTTCCTAAGAAAAAATATATGTATTTAAATCTATTTATTTTCATTTTACTTGAAAGGCAGAGAGACAGACTGAGATCTTCTATCCATTGGTTTACTCCCCCAAATGGCCACAGTAACCCAGGCTGGGCCTGGACAAAGCCAGGAGCTCAGAGCTCAATCCGGGTCTCCCACATGGGTGGCAGGGACTCCTGTTCCTGAGCCATGTTAGCAGGAAGCTGATCAGGACTCAAACCCAGGCACCTCTTTAAGGGATGGGAGCGAAACGCCCACCCCTTGCTCGCTTTCTCGAGGCAAAGCTGTTGAGTTGTTTCTCTGGAGACTTTCAAAGTGGGACCAGCTGACGCCCCGTCCGTCTTGTCCCGTAGCCTCGTGATGTTTTACTTCATCGCCTTAGCCGGAGCACACAAGCGAGTGGTGGACCAGCTCCGAGAGCAGCTGTCCCTGGTGAGGAGGCCAGCCTCTGGGGGGGAAGTGCTAAGTAGTCAAATCGGATCCATGCCGGTAACCATAGCTGCCAGTGCCAGGCGGGTGACCTTGGAGCTGAGACTTGAATGGCAAAAGCCGCTCTCGTGAGCAGTGAGCATTAAGAGACGGGAAGGATGGTTCTGGAGTGAGGTGGGCTCTTCCGGGGGGGACAGGAGGGAAGGGGCTGGTGTGGCTGGAAGGGTGGGAGGCAGCAGGCAGAAGCAAGAAGCTATGACAGCCCCAGCCAGAGTGGTCGCGAGGCCCCGGGGTGGAACCCACTGGAGAGTGTTACACAGGAGTCAGGTGCACCTTTGAAGCACTCCCATGTGGCCCGGGGGCGGGGTGCAAGGGGCAGGCCAGGTTGGAGGTCACTGCCGGGGTCCTGTGGTTGGAATCCTTAGCCCCGAGCCTGGCAGGTCTCGGCTGAAGTGCGGAAGTCGTGCCACCTGTCCCCACGTGTATGAGATGCACTTTCCAGCTCATGGCCTTTTTCCAGGAAAGTCATGACAAGCGCTATCTCATCCAGAAGCTAACGGAAGCCCAGCAGGATCTGCGGCCCAGCTAGGCACGCGGGAAGTGGCCGCCGTGAGACGGGGCCCAGCCCGCATCCCGGCGACTCTGCACACCCACCACGTCCGTCCGCCTTCTGCGTGCAGATGTTAAAATATATTGTTTGGAGTTGAGGCTTCTCCTAGAAGTGACTCTGTATGTGTCGCGTTGGTGGCTGTCTTTACATAACCAGGACCCCGAGTAAGTGGGTTAGAAAAGCAGATTCAAACTCAAGTGTGTGGCTGTGTAGACCAGCAGCGCATTGATGACCCTACCAAAAACTCTCTTGGGAAGCTGTCTGACTTCTACAACGAAAGTCGAGAAGATTTCTTGGGGTTTCTCAAAGCTTGCTGGGCTTGTTGTTAGAAATGAGCCCTAGGAGTCGCCTGTTCGCGACCCTGGCTTCCAGAGGTACGTCAGACAGTCGTGAACAGGGATTCATAGACGAATTTACGCCGAGGCAGGTGTTTCTGAAGTCTGTGCGTAGGAAGGAAACACTTCACAGAAAATGCATGGATTTCACATTTTCTTTTTGCACCAAAATAAACTTTTTTTAAAAAAAAGGATTTTTTTTAAAAATTTACTTAAATTCATTTTATTTTTTAACACAGAGGACAGATTTCCATCCTCTGGTTCGTTCCCATAATGCCCACAATAACCAGGGGCTGGGAACTCCATCCGGGTCACCCATGTGGGGTCAGTGCTCCCCAGGGTGAGCACTGGCACGAAGCTGGATCAGAAGAAGACCCGGACCCAGAGCCAGGCCCTCCCGCCTGAGGTGCGGGTGAGCCGCATGGTAACTGAACCCCTGAACCGAACACCCACCCCTGGAGTTTTTATGAATGCCATTTCCCACACACTTTTGTATTGTTTTTGAGCCAGGCTAGGGCTTTGGGCTAAGGTGCGTTCTTGGAGTAATCATGGCTCTGAAGCCGAAAGCCGTTTTGGTTTTCGATTTCCTCTTCATGGAGAGGAATCCTTGCATCGCGATGCTTGGGGCAGATGGTGACAAGGTGGAGGATGGTTATGGAATTACAGCGCCATTAGTATGAGAGAGAAAAGCAGCTTGACGCTGTGTAAATGCGGTTTCTGAATGCCCTCGGTGTGTGTCTGTGTGTGTGTTTTAAGATTTATTTATTTAATTGAAAAGCAGTGACAGAGACAGAGACCCTCCCGTCTGCTGGTTCACTCCCCAAATGACTACAATGGCCAGGGCTGGGCCAGACTGAAGCCAGCAGCCGGGAACTCCATCCTGTCTCCCTTGTGGGTGGCAGAGGCCCAAATACTTGGGCCATTGGCTTCTGCTGCTTTCCCAGGCCCGTTAGCAGGGAGCTGGGTCAGAAGCCAGGAAGCCAGGACTGGAACCAGTGCTCCACACGTGGGACGTGGGTGCCGCACGCAGGCTGTGGCTTAACCCACCGCGCCGCAAGGCCGGCCCCGCAGTGCCGGGAAGGGCTTTCTGCAGGAAGGCAGCCTCCATTTCCTAGCGTGTGTGCCTTTTGCTGCAGCGTTATTCATTACTCCAGGAGGCTGTGCGCGGGGGACTGGTTATCCAGCCTCCTGTTCTGTCCTGAGTCCTGAGGCTGGACACAGGGCCCTGGACCAACAGAACTAAGGGGCAGACAAAGCCATCACTCACGCTTCGCATGCCTGCTCCAGAGCCTGCGTTTCTGAAGGCTGTTTAATCTGAGGCAGGCTGGAAGGGGCTGTTCACGCTTGCGGCTGTGGGCTTGATGTGTGCTACAGCTCAGCCTATTCGTTAGATCAGCCTGTGAATGGATAGTAGATTAGCTTGGACGCTTTTTTAAAAAAAGATTTTATTTGGTTGGCAGGGTGACAGAGAGAGAGAGACATCTGCCAGCCGCTGGTTCGTTCCCCAAATGGCCTCCATGGGCCAGGCAGTAAACAGGAGCCTGGAGCTCCATCCGGGTCTTTTAAGTGGGTGGCAGGGGCTCAAGCACTTGGGCCGTTATCCACTGCTTTCCCAGGCGCATTAGCAGGGAGCCAGATCAGAAGCGGTGTAGCCTGGACTTGAACTGGTGCTCTGATGTGGATGCAGGAGTTGTAGGCAGTAGCTTAACTTACCGTGGCATTATGCTGGCTCTTGGATACTGTTTTTTTCTTTTTAATTTCCTTTACTTATTTATTTGAGGAAGAGAGAGAGAGAGAGAGAGTGTGTGTGTGTGAGCTCCCATCTGCTGATTCATTCTCCACATACTGCAATAGCCTGGGGCTGGGCCAGGCTGCAGCCGGGAGCTGTGAACTCTGTCTGGGTCTCCTGTGTAGCTAACAGGAAGTTCAATGTTCAGGCCTGCAGCAGCTGCCTCCCAGACTGCACATCAGCAGGAAGCTGGAGTCGGAAGCTGAGCCAGGTTCACCCAGACCCTCCAGTACGGGATGCAGGCATCCCATGCGGCTGCTTAGCTGCTGCCCCAAACACCCACCCTGGATGCTCGTTTCTTGAACACATTTCTACGTCGTTAAGGGCTATTGTTTTTTCTATGCTGAAAATTTTAAATGCACGTGCCTTCCTAATAGAAAACATGCACAATATCTCTTAAGATTTCTGTTATGGAAAAAAAAAACATAAGCAATAAATACCTCATCATAATGTTCCTGAAATTGATAGCTCTGAACCTTTTAATAGAAACCTAAGTTAGTGCTTTGTAGGCAGCAGGGGCCCAAGCCTCCGAGTCCTCTTGCGCTGCCTTCCCAGCTGTGTCAGCCAGGAGTTGGAGCAGTCGGTGCTCAGAGGTGACGCTGGGGTCGCAGGTGGCGGCTGCACCCGTTACACCACCACGCCGCCCCGGGTACAGGTCTTCAAATACTCCCGCTGCTGATTTCGATTCCCATCCCAACCACCCCGCCCCTTTACTCGAAAACGATGAGCCCCTTGCTCAGGGGAGCGGAGCGAGCTGGCGTCACTTCCACATGTCTGTATTCTCGTCTGTTCGCCACAACCCTTTCCCTTGCTTGTCCCCAACAATAGTATCACCCTGGGATAGTTTTGGGCCTGTGAGACTGATGCTTGTCAGGCTTTTCCTGTCCTGTTTGGGTGGATGAATTTCTAAATCTAGTAACTGCTCTGCTGAAATTTTGAGTAGCCCAAAGTCGATTCTGTTCTCACTTAAGAAACAGGTTCTAATTGTTGGCATTCCTGCCCCATGCCTTTATCTGTATAATGTTCGTGCCTTCAGTGTGCTTGCGTGAACAGTCGTGTGTCTGTGTGTGTGTGTGTGTGTGTGTGTGATGGACACAGTGAAAACATATTGCTGTTGAAATATGCTAATGAATGACATTTTAGGTCAGTGCTGCTAACTTGCATGTGTCTTACATGAATGTTTTTGTATGTTTTGATAACTTTAATAATAACTTCAGGTGATGTCTTTGTAATTTTTAAAGTGCAGCTCTAACATGTATTGAAACTACCAATTAAACAATGTCTTAAGATTTTCAAATGTGGTCGTGTCTATTTGAATTCATGGAGGCTTCTTGTCAACACTCCGTCGATCATGGAAACCTGTCGATTGCTCTTTGCCTTTTTCTGGAATCAGGGAAAGAAAGAAGTTTTTAATGCAGTCACCAGCTGAGAATATCTGAGCTTATCTTCTATGTATGTATGTGCATACTAGTAAGTTCCATTTGGTGCCTTTCATTTCCAGTGCATGGGGGTACAATTGGAATTTACTTGTTTAATTGTGTGATTTTATACAAGTGTTTTCACCTCTCTGGGATAAAGCTCCCTTTAAAAAAAAAAAAATTGATTGAAATGAAAGGCAGAGCCAGAGAGATCTTCCATCTGCTGGTTCACTCCCCAAATAGCCGCAACAGCCAGGTCTGGGTCAGGCCAAAGCCAGGTGCCAGGAGTTTCATCCTGGTTCCCATGCTGGTGATGGGGGTCCAGGTAACTGGGCCACCTGCTGCTGCTTTCCCAGGTGCATTAGCTGGGAGCTGCATCAGAAACAGAGCAGCCAGGGCTCAGAACCCGTTGTCTGATATGGGATGTCTGCATTGACAGCAGTGGCTTAACCTACAGCACCACAGTGCCGGCCTCTCCTTTTATCTTTAAAATGAAAAAATAATAGACGTTTTGTTTGATGTGTGAGGATTGAATTAGAAGATAGTATGCTTTTACTTTTGAAATTTTGCTTTCTCGTTATAAAATTATGTTTATTAGAGAAAAAAATTCCAATCACTCCTGGAGTTGGCATGGTTCAGCAGGTTAAGCTGCCTCCTGTGGCGCCAGCATCCCATATGGGGGCTGAATCTGATCCCGCTGCCTGCTACTGTGCCTGGGAAAGCAGCAGAGGATGGCCCAAGTGCTTGTGCCCCTGCCACACGGGAGAGCAAGAAGGAGTTCCTGGCTCCTGGCTTTGGCCTGGCCCAGCCTTGCTCTTTCTGGCCATTTGGGGAGTGAAACCACTGGATGGAAGATTCTTTCTCTCTCTCTCTCTCTCTCTCTCTCTAACTCTGTGACTGTCAAATAAATCTTTAAACATTCCAGTTGTTCATAAGCACTCTGTGTGGACATCCACTGCGTATCAGCCCATTTTTCATTCCTGTAACAGAATACCTGAGGCAGGCTGCTTTTTGGCTCACAGTTGTGGAGATGTGAAGTCCAGGTGGTGAGGGGCTGCTTGCGGGCAGAGTCCTGATGGACACAGCATCATCGCGTGGCGAGAACCAGGAAGCACGCATGCATTTCTGTCCGTCTCTACCGCTTCTTGCAAAGCTGCTCGGGTCAGTCACGGGGCTCCCCCTCACGTCCTCATCTGAATCTCCCTGACTTTCCAAGGGCCCCACCTCCATCTAACTCCAGGGTCGGAATGCGTTCCTGTCCTTTAAGTGTCTCCATGGGGGCTGAATCTCAACTCCTGAAGCTTTGGAGGGAACTCAAACTGTTCCCAAACCCTAGTACCTGTCAATCTTGGCGTGATGGAAAGTATGGAGGGAAGGAAGAAGGAAAGAACTGGGTATTCTCACTTGCTTTTCACTGAATAAAAATGTCTTCTCGTGTTAGCAAAGTTCTTTATATTTCAGTAGCTACATAAAATAGCATCATACAGATGGACCATAATTTTTAACACTCTGCTGAACATTTTATTTCCAGAATTTTCCCAGTAATCAAGGAGACATCCATAAACCATCAACATTCTTTTCTCCTTAGGAATAGAGATTTAGATGAGGGATTATGGCAAAGGTTTCTAACATTATAAGGCTTTTTATTTACACTTTCAGTGACTATATGAGAATGGCACATCAATCTCTCACCATTTATTAGTTCGGTTCATGATTTAAAATTATTGCACTGTGTTCATTTGAATACCGTAGAGCAATAGAAAAACGAGGAAGTTTAACTCAGTGACTTCACGGTAGCAGTGTGTCATAAACTGTTTTATAGTAACCTGGATGAAAACACCCAATCAAGGTTGTGGAGTAGAAAGTGGAAGTGTCCTTGTCCTGGTCCCAACTCCGTGACACTGCCAGTGTGGAATGTGGTAGAACTCAGAGATGAGCATTCGAGGGTTTTTTCTGCCCTTGTCTACATACGTGACTCACCTGAAAAATTATCTCTCTGGACAGAATTCCAGGGACAGCCATGTTGATGGGATATGCACGTTGAAAAGTGTGGTCTGTCCATGCACTTTGGAAATTACTATTGCTGGGAAGTCTATTAAACATCTTGGAGCTGTCTTTAAATTCATAACATTTCCTAAAAAAAGAATTCGTTATTGTTATGGAAAAGTGTTCTCCTTACTTGTATATTTTAAGTAAGCCATAAAGCTAAATGACAATTTTTGACATGTAACTACATACGAAGCCATACGGATTTTTAAAAATCATGAATAAAGTGTACAGTGAAGTAGCAAAATAAGCTTTACAGTTACGTTATTTCATTCTTTAAGGAGAGCAACAGGACCATCCAATAAAATACAAGAATGCCCTACCTTTCTTAAGTGTTTTTCCTGGCTAAAATAATGTTTATGGTAGACTGTTGCGATATCAGCGAATCTTGATTAACAGACTGCATTAAGTTATTTTCGGAAATAAGACATAAGCACCACTTTAAAAGGCAGGATACGTGTTGCTCAGTCTACCCTCTCCTTTCGTAAATGACAATTGGCAGCAATACAGCGAACCAGACACAGAAAATAACGTGTTCTCTGGGAATCTACAAAATAGCCTGTGGTTTCTACTATTTTAAAGATCAGTCAGGATATAAATAGATAAAAATCTGTTTCCATAAATAATTTCCTGATGGTCTTCTTTCCTAGGAACTTAAGGGGGAAATCTCCACCCCGTGGGGATCCTGGACAGAGCAATTTAGCTTTCTCACTTCCATGGCAACGCAGGGCTCCTTTACCAGCCATATCCTGCTTGATTGATAGGGATCGTATCCAATTCACTCTTTGCATTTGCAGTTCCCAACCAATAGAATGGAAGCAAGGGCCTAAGGGCGTTTCCGCCGGTGCCAAGGAAACTCCTTCCCTACGTATGCCGTGCGTCATCAATCTGCGCCAAAAGCACGATTGGTCCGCTTCGCTCAGCGGAGAGGCAGCTTTGCTGTCCCCGCGATGACTTGCGCCGGGGCGGCTGCGGCTCGATCCTTGTGGCGGCTGCGCGCGGGTAACCAGCGGTCCCTCTCAGGTAAAAAGATGGGGGATGTGCGGTCGTAGTCCCACACTGGGTCTGCGAGCCCGGGCTCGACTTTTAGGTCGGAGAGGTCGCGGTGGGGGACGTCACAGATGTGCGACCGACCGCGTGACGTCAGACGCGGCTGGTACCCGTCGTACGCCGCGACGATGGCGGGAAGCGAGTAACATTTGAACGGTTGGAGAGTGACGCGACTGCGCTCTGACGCCGGGGCGTCGCTGAAGGTGTGGTTGGCGTTGCGGGCTGAGGAACAGAGGCCGACACCGAAAGTCCGTTGTCCCCAGGGTGTCGCCGGAGTCCTCTTCGCTCGGGGCTTTGCTGGGCTGCGTCATAGCAAGACCGCGCCAGCCTCGGCTCCGGCTCCGAGCTGCTTAGAAATGCCGGTTCTCGGGTCCCGCGTCTGACCCGCGGGGGCCACCTGTGTGTTCTGGCGAGGCCGCCGGCCTGAGAGCTGTCGCGGGGTCGGTTTCTCAAGGTGAACTCCCCTGCGCGGTCCTTCGAGCCTTTTACACAGGGTCCTCCTGTACCTAACGCGAGCCTCCCCTGGAACTATGTCCCGTGTTCAAATTAAGTCCGTAGGAACAAAATCCGCACGCAGAATGGAAGGCCATTATTGTCTAACCCAAGTGCAGGCGTGATGATAAAAATGCACGACAAACAAGAAGCAACAGAATTGTGTCCCTCCCGGGTGCCTTGTGTTAAATACCAGGCTTGGACTCAAAAATAATAAATAAATAAACAAACAAAATTAGCAACCATTGGGAAGATGCTCTGGACATTCTCCTTGATGAAATCAAAGGTTGGAAGCCACCCCATAAATATGTACTATTTTTATGTGTCAAATTAAAAAAAAAAAAAAACGATTGGAAGATAATTTAAAGGAAACTAAATCTTACCATGAGGGTATTTTCTATTTTTATTTGAGAGGCAGACAGCTCCCTTCTTCTGGTTCATTGCCCAGATGCCCACAACGATGGGGCAGGATGTCGAGCCAACCCAGCCACTTGGGCCAACACTGCTGCCTCCCAGGGTCTGCATTGGCAGGAAGCTGGCGTCGAGCCAGAGCTGGGTATTGAACTCCGGGAATCCAACACTGGATGCCAACGTCTCAACCACTAGGCTCATGCCTACCGTGGGTATTATCTAGTGCATGTCCATATACCGCTTCACGTCTCCTAGTTACCACCGTTGGTATTGGGCCAGACTTTAGGAAAACACAGATAGGAAATGACACATCTGAGCTCCTAGCAGGACCTCAGTTTTATTTTAAAGTGCATGACGAGGCAGGCAGACCTTGTAGGACCACTGTGTGAGAATTTTGATGTCCTGTGGAGCCAGTGTGCCTAACAAGAAGACTCGTTCGTTTTTATTTATACAGTTTTGTTACCTCCTGCATCTCCTTTTATGAGAACTCAGAAAGAGGTGGGGTTTTCCCCTCCATATATTTACCCTTAAAAAGGAAACATTCTGAGAATTCAGAATTAAGCAGTAACTAAATTAAATCATGCTATTTAAAAACAAAAGAAAAAAAAAGGAAACATTCTGATAATTGTCAATTTTGTACCTAAGAAATGGCGATTTTGCTTGTCCAAGGTTGATGTTAGAGACGGGACTTGTATTTCTGACTGCTGGCCCCTGCCCTCTCTGTAGCCCATCCCATACTGTAGAAGGACACCTTGCAAAGACAAGTGGCAAATGTGATACTGGAACACCCCCACCCGCACTCCAGCAGGGTCATTTAGTAAGTGCCCGAATCTGCAAGAGTAGCACAGGGCTGGGGAACAGTCCAGTGTGTGTGGCCCAAAGCTGGGGCACGAGTGAGCATGCAGAGCCCCCTGCGACACTCCTTGGTTTAAACCGTGGAACCACTCCAAATCCCACCAAGACCACCCCCACCATCTTTAAAAAAAAAATTATTTACTTATCTATTTGAAAGAGATCTTCCATCTCCTGGTTCACTCCCCGAAGACTGGCAACAGGCCAGGAGCCCGGACTGCATCTGGGGTGACAGAGGCCAAGCACTGGAGCCATCAGTGCTGCCTCCCAGGGTGCACCAGCAGGAAACTGGATCAGAAGCAGAGCAGCCAGGACTTGAACTCTGGTATGAGCTGTGGGTGTCCCAAGAGTGGCTTAATCCAGGCCACCATCTTTTCACCAAAACATTCACTCTTTTGTAATGAAATAACCAAACATGTCCCCCAAGTGCATTTCCCCCACACTTCTGGCAGTGGAAGTTAGCCTGAGTGAAGAGAAGTACCCGGAAGAGACACGGAAGCCCCAGCCCAGGAGCCCTGAACCCAAGTGACTTCCTGGTCCCGGTTTTCCATCTGCAAAGTGGAAGGCATATACCTTACACACCGAAGCATGCGATACACTGCTCTGGTCAAGGGGCCTTTTGTGGTATCCTAATAGAAGGCTCAGAACATTATGATTTGGAGTTTTTGTTTTTGTTTTTTTAAGATGAAATTTAATCTTTCCCAAGGAACTTGGATTTGAGAGACAAGCAGAGTGCAGCTGAATGGATTTCGGACACTGATGAGGTGAAGCCTTGGCGTGAAGGCAGGAGCGCCTACGGGTGTGGGCGTTTTACAAGGATTCAGAGTTGTGGTTCTCAGCTGCGGCTGCAGAGGAGACCAGTGCAGAGAGCTTTTTAAAAATATCAGTGGCAGGGGTGGGGGTGGAGCTGGTGCTGTGGCGTAGTGGGTAAAGCCACTACCTGCAGTGCCGACATCCCATATAGGTGCCAGTTCCAGACCCGGCTGCTCCACTTCCAATCCAGCTCTCTGCTGTGGCCTGGGAAAGCAGTACAAGAAGGCCCAGGTCCTTGGGCCCCTGCACCCATGTAGGAGACCTGGAAGAAGCTCCTGGCTTTGGATTGGCCCAGCTCCGGCTGTTGTGGCCAGTTGGGGAGTGAACCAGCGGATGGAAAACACCTCTCTCTCTCTCTGCCTCTCCTTCTTTCTCTGTGTAACTCTGACTTTCAAGTAAAATAAATAAATCTTTTAAAAAATCAGTGTGGGGGCCCCTTCCCAGAGGTCCTCTTTCTGAAGGCTGTGCAGCCTGGGTTGGGGAGAGTGGCCAGGACGGGTGGGCAGCTGGAGGGAGAGCCTCACCTGTCCAGAAGTATCCGCCACATTCACTGCCTGGGGCGGCGTTTCCAGATCTGCAGAGGCCCAATGTGCAGCCGAAATGTGGGTGTTTCGGTAAAAGTCGGATGTTTGCACGCTGTGGTGTGAACAGAATATACCGAGGGCCCCACCTGGCCCCGCCGTGTGAGCTCTTTTAGGGGCTCGTTCTCCGGCACCCCGTTCTCCTACCTCTGAAAGGAAACCTCTCGCCTTCACTGAGAGTGGTAAACGCTTGCCTTGCAGCTTGTGGGAGAAGAATCGGGGTGAGATTTCGCAGTTCAGGAACGACCTTAGACGGTATCAGTCGGGCGGCTGTGGATCGAATAATCCGAGTGGATCATGCCGGGGAGTACGGAGCGAACCGCATCTACGCGGGGCAGATGGCCGTGCTGGGTCGGACGAGCGTCGGGCCGGTCATTCAGGTGGGTGCCGCTTTGGCTCTCAGCAGGTGCATCTGAGGGCCTTCAAGGAACCAATCACGGGAGGCCGTGTGCTCCCAAGGGAAGATGTCTCTGAAAGAGCAGGAATTGGTTTTGGGGAGAGAGGGGGAACAAAAAGCGTGTTGTGTTTCAGTGTAAACACAGAAGGCTTACGGTAGAGAAGCAGGTGCACAGTGTATCAGTGGTACTAAAATGGCAGGGCAGGGCAGGCTATAATGAAACAAGGGTTGAGAATCACTTCATTAGATGGAAGCACAGTGTGCTGAGAGCTTGTGGTCCTGCCCGGTGGAGTGCCAGAGGACAGACTGTGTACCCGCGGGCAGTGGCCCACTTCGTGGTCACAGGCACCTGGGCTCACATCCTGCTCTCTCCCTCCTCTTGCCTGTGTGACTTTGAGGTCACAGGGCCTCTGCGGGCCTTTGTTTCCATATTGCCTAATACCTGTCTCATTGGGTTCGGGTGGGTGCAGACACATTCGTGCAAATTAACTTGCCTGCCCGAGTCCTTGAGCGAGTGCTTATCCTCTCTGCCTCACTCTGTGCATCTGTGTAGGGTGACTGTAGCTGCTGTGTGGACTGGATGAGCTGTGGTCAGCTCCTGGCATTTAGGAAGTGCTGTCTAGGTGTTAGCTGTTGCTGTCGCTCTCCCCTTTTCCTTCTGTGTAAGCGATAACATGCTGGAGAGAAAGTACGCAGCAGCTAGTGATACTCTGCCTCCCAATGTTGAACCAGGTTAAGCGTCTCATTTCTCCTGGTCATTTAATGGGCACCTGGTGGGCCTGAGGGACTTTGGCTAGAGTCCTGGCCGGTGGCGTTCCTGTCTGGCATTGAGACAATAGACTCTCTTGGTTTGTTGATGCTCCCTTCTCAGTCTCAGGGATTCCTGTTAGTCTTGTGCTTTACTTCATGTGTGTGGTTTTTTAAAATTATTTGAAATGCAGGGAGAGCAGACAGAGACTTGAACCCAGGCACTCTCTTACGGCATGTGGGCGTCCCAAGCACCAGGCGCCCACGTGTCTTCATGGGCGCTTTGATGGGGAGGGGAAAGACAGCAGTCTCGGCGCCAGCACTGTGACGCGGCATTTTAAACTGCTGCTTGCAACGCTGACA